TTCCCAGTGTATCTCAAACACCTGTAGTGATTCTAACTGTTAAACAAAGTAATTAACCTCTATTTCACAGAATGAACTCGGGAGTAAATAATTGAGAACTATCTGTCTTATATAAGCATTTTAGTAGACTAACAAAGCTCACAAGGTCAGATGACATGACTTTCTACAGTCACACATATATATATCCCTTGCATACCTTTTTTTAATTGTGATAAAATATACCTAACATGAAATTTACCTTTGTAACCATCTTTATGTGTAGAGTTCAGTGATATTAAGTAATTCACATTGTGCAACCATCACCACCGTCCATCTTCAGAATTTCTTCATCTTCCCCAACTGAAACTCTGTACCGATTAAACACTAACTTTCATTCTCCTCTTTCCCTAGCCCCTGGAAACCCTGATTTTACTTTTTGTCTCTATGATTTGACTACCCTAGGTCCCTCATATAAGTGGAATCATATAGTATTTGTCTTTTTGCAATTGACTTACTTCACTTAGCATAATGTTCTCAAGGTTCATCCATATTGTAGCATATTGCAGAATTTCCTTCCTTTTTAAGGCTGAGTAATATTCCATTGCATACCACATTTCATGTATCCATTCATCCCTTGAGGACATTTGACTTGCTTCCATCTTTTAGCTGTTGTGAATATTGTTGCTATGAATATGTGAATATTGTTGCTACGAATATGGGTATACAAATATCTATTTGAGTCCCTGCTTTCCCTTGCATAACTATTTAAAGTGCCAAAAATGATTTCACTCATTAACATGATCCAAAGATATAGCTGCTCTCCAGCACGTAAAAGTAAGAAGACATAAACTTAAAATTATGCTTAGCAATCAAGGTTCCTATATTAAAATTTTCTAAATTTAATATTAATTCAGGTTTTTCAAATTATTAAGGATCTTGGACACTGTTTAAGGTGACACACTACAAAATATAAGTACTGTTGACATAAAGTTTGTTAGAATAATGAATTGATTTAGTTGAACACAAATTTACATTTTTATAATCTTATAAAAGATAATCAGATGTCAGCTTATTTGATCAGTAAGACAAAGTAAGAAGTGTAGGAAATTCAGATTAACTAGCTTCTTCACAAAAAACAAATCCAGATCTTCTGAAAAATAAAACGTATACTTGTATCATACTTAATATAAAGTAGAGAAAGCACAGATAA